GGTCAAGTAACCTTCCATATCAGCCTCCAGGAGGTACAGCTATACTGCTGCCCCTAGAATTTCTGTGAGATTGTTAGCTCCCTTACTGCAACATGTAACATGGTCTCCCTGCTACCTCCCAAGTTATCCTTTAAAAAAGGCAAGTCAGGTCATACTATTACTTTCCTCAAAACCCTCTAACATCTTCCCAGCTCACTCAGGGTAAAAGCCAAATTCCTCTAAATGGATCACAAGACTCTCCATTATCTGCCTCTAGTGACACTGGTTTCTTTGACCTTCCCAACCAAGCATGTGTTCTTGCTATTTCCTGTTTTCTAATAAGGTTCCTCCTCCAACAGACTACATAGCTCACTCCTTTAGACATCTTCAAGCAATGTCACTGAAGTCAGAGAGGCTTTCACTTTTCACTACCTGATATAAAATAGCACCATCCACTCCCCAGCACAGATCACAACCTGACATTTTCTGTGTGTGTGTATGTGTGTATACACATATTTTTTTTAATTGCCACATTTCTCCTACTAGAATGTAAGCTCCAAATGGACAAGCCCCATAGAAACAAGGGAAATTTTATTTTTGTTATTTACTTATAAGATATCCATCTGATATGTAAAAGCAAACCACATGATAGTAAATGCTAGTCACTGAACTATTCCAATTTAAGGAATTACCAAGGAAAATGAACTCTTAAGAGTGAAATAAAATTTTCTTAATTTATCATGTAATAGTAAACTGGAATAAATATCATAGAGATGGCATGTGAATTACTAGAGGTATACAGTAAAGAAGTCCCAAATTTCACTACACAGAGCCACGTGGTCATCAGAAAATGATAATTTTTTCAATGCAAGGATATATATTCTTAAGATATTACACAACAGGGGTGCCTGGGTGGCTGAGTCAGTTAAGCATCCGACTTCAGCTCAGGTCATGATCTCACAATCAGTGAGTTTGAGCCCCATGTTGGGGTCTGTGCTGACAGCTCAGAGCCTGGAGCCTACTTCAGATTCTGTGTCTCCCTCTCTCTCTGCCCTCCCCCACTTATACTCTGTGTGCGTGTGTGTCTGTCTCCAAAATAAACACTAAAATCTTTTTTAAAAAGATATTACACAACAAGAAATAAATGCATTTGGTTACAGAACATGTAAACTTTCAGATGATTTTTTTAAGTTTATTTTGAGAGAGAGACAGGCAGAGAGGGGGAGAAGGATCCCAAGTGGAGCCTGACATGGGGCTCAAACTCACAAACCCTGAGATCATAATCTGAGCTGAAATCAAGAGTCATACACTTAACTGACTGAACCATCCACACATCTCAGGTGATTTTTTAATCAGAGAAATATAGGCTCAAAGGATGCTATAGTGTCATTAAAAATTAATCTGAGTTATATGGGTAACCTCTCCACAACTATAATAAAAGCTTTATTTCTTAAACTGGTGATGAGTACATAGGTGATTTTATATTCTCCTTTATACGTTTGGGTGAAAGATTTCAGAGTACATTTTTTTTCAGGTCAGGCAAATTTTAATAAAACAAAGTAAAAATATTTAGTATGTGACAAGAGTGAAAGGAAGACATTTTAAAAGACTTTCCTTACTGTAAGGTAGTACAAAGATGTGGTTAAGAGCCCAGGTTCTGGAGTCACAATACCTGGGTTGTTGTCTTAGCTCTGACACTAGCCATGTAACACTGAAATGGAGCAAATAACATTTCTTAGCCTCAAGTTCCTCATCTATAAAATGCAAACAACACTGATACTACTAATAAAGATAACCTAATTGTATGTGTATATTTCAAAATCTTAGAACATGTCATGGAAGATAATAAATGCTAATTTTATAAGTTTCTTATTATTTTTAATTGTTTTTAAAGATGCTGCAGGAGATATACCTAGTAAGAAGTTGCTACAGCCAATATCAAAGAGGTTACTGCCTGTGTTCTCCCCTAGGATTTCAATGGTTTCCTACCTCACATTTAGGTTTAATCCATTTTGAATTTATTATTGTGTATTGTGTAAGAAAGTGGTCCAGTTTCATTCTTTTGCATGTTGCTGTCTACTTTCCCCAACACCATTTGTTGAAGAGACTGTCCTTTTTCCATTGGATATTCTTTCTGACTTGTCGAAGACTAGTTGATAGTTGTGGGTTCATTTCTGGGTTTTCTATTCTAATCTATTGGTCTATGTGCCTGCCCTGGATTACATGGGTAACTTCTCCACAACTATAATAAAATAAAGCTTTGTTTCTGAAACTGGTGATGAGTACATAGGTGCTTTTGTATTCTCCTTTATACTTTTGGATGAAAGATTTCATAGTATATTTTTGTGTCAGTACTATACTGTCTTGAGGTGGTTACCTTGTTTGATTCATCATTATAAAAAGAAAATGAAAATTGAAAAATACAAGAATTTCTATTTGTCAGGTTATACTCAAAATATAAATTTAAATTTAGTAGGTAAAAGTAATGAAATGATTACTGACAATTATGACAACAGAAATACTATCTTTATCTTGAAAACATTTTCAACTTTATCCAGTTAATTTAGAATAAATTTCAATATAAATGCATATATTTCATATGCCTAAGAGCCACAGCCAAAAATCCTAAGCGGATTATAATTGTCAATTATGTTCTTCAGGTTCCTCAAGATTAAATGTCTCTGCCCAAAATAGTAGATAGTATTTCCCCAGAATTGGTATCTTAATCTCAAAAGTTTGGCACACATACAAGGCAGGACTGGAGAGGAAGAGGAGCACTAATCAAGTAATTCACCTTCTAAACAAAATTAAAAAGGAAGTATGCATGCCTGGTGGAAGGCTTAAACTGGATTTTAAAAACCTGCTACCCAAATATGTGTGTATAAGATAATCCAGCAATTGTTTTCTGCCTAAATATGTTTGTTAATTTCCACTTACATTATAGGTTGACCTACTTACTATTATTCCATTGTAGTCTCTTACCTGCAATAGAATCCTAATAAAGCACACTTCACTCACAAGAATAAGGGAGGCAGCAGGGTAATTAACAAAGCTAAAAAGAACCCCACAGAACATAGTGGACATTTATCCCCAGAGCATGGAAGAGGGAAAGAAGTTTGTCTTCCCTTTAAATTCAGGTGTACATATCACAATATATCAGTTCCCAGGCACAAAGACAGCCAAACATGGGCTTTTTGTATTAGTTATTTTCCTGGTTCTTGAGGAATATTGCTAGAGTGAGGGAAAAGTGGCTACCTATCCAATGGCCAGTTGAACCAAGTCAATTTGGAGAGTAACCTACAAACTCATAAAACAAATCAGATTCTGATCTCAGTCAGGGTTCCTGCAATTGTATAAGTTATATACATCACACACACAGATATATATACACACACATATATCTCCTAGACAATATCTTTCCAAACTGAGATTCTAAGGAAGAAATGTGTGTCTCATTGCCTCTCCTCCAGTGTGATTTTTCTCAGGGCAGGCAAACTTTCAAGAGTGGTTCAGAATTCCTCATGTTTATAAAGACTAGAATTTGCAAAGTATCTCATAATTTCAATAACAGGTATGTTAACTATCTGTGGCTATCAAAAAAGTGCCATTTATGATTTCTCTGCTTTTGACGGAAGAAAAGTTAAGCTTATAACTCAGAAAGCTTAAGCAAGAATTGGTGGCAAGTTTTTATAATGGCTGGCAAAGAGGCCAAATTCTGTAGCTTCCCTGAAAGTATGGATTACTGTCAATGCTGCATATAAGGTATTTTCAATGTTTTTGCACTTCATTTTAGTGATCCAATTAAGACAAGTGATGCTTTTCTCTTCTACTTGTCCAAACGAACATATGTATGTATGTATGTATGTATGTACATATATATATATCTATATATCTAGATATATCTATATATATCTAGATATATAGATATATAGATATAGATATATATAGATATATCTATATATAGATATATCTATATATAGATATATTTTTTTTTCTTTCTACTAATGTAACAAAACTTTTAACTTGAAAGACAGGATCTTGAGTGTATATATAACTCAGGGCTTACTTTATTCAATTATTTAAAACTATCACATATTTAATTTAATACATGCTAAAATGTATTATTACAACTAGGATATGCTATTATACTGAGAAGAAAAATTTATTTTGGGTAATTAAAATTATTAATCTTCTAAAACAAAACAAAATGCTTTTCAAACAAAATTAGGGAAAAAATCACACAGGAAAGTCAAGATTTTTACAAAAGTATTTTAAAAAAATATTCAAATAAATTTGTTTACTAAGCCTAATATTCCTATAATTATTTTTTGTTTCTCTGCCTAATCTGTAAGAATAAAACTTTGTTATACATAAAAAAGAGCATTTAGTACTATAGAGAAAGATCAAAACATCAAATTCACAGAAAGTCTGGTATCCATGTACCATGCAACTACAACAGAGTGTAATTTAATCCAAATATCACCACACTGTATTTGAAAAAATCATTAAACTTAATCATATTAAAAAAAGTTTTCAGAGTAATCTTAGTTTTTAAATAGTATATTTAAACATACTGTAATCTATGCTGTTATTTAAACATAGTTATAATCTTATTTTTTTAACAAACATGTTAATAAGAGCTGGCATTTAAAGGAAGTATAATCGTATTAAAAAAAAAAACAACTTAAAGATGTAGTAATAAGACCTGTTATTTAAACACAGTATAATCTTATTTTTTAAACATAAATCTATGGTAATAAGAGCAAATCACTCAATAAACATTGAACTGTGCATTTGAATTCATAAATTGCTCTCTTTAGCACTAAATTAATCAATAACTATATTTAGCAAGAGATAATATAAGCTAAATCCAAACACAGAAAATAAGTCTAATGTAAAAATAATATAATGTTTGTTTTTGTCTCTTAGCTGGCTCCCTGACTGCATCTCTATTTTCCTAATATGTGGATATGTCAGGAAAAGCTCCCACACAACTAAAAATTTTCAAATTTTTTCCATACCTTTTCTGCCCCCAATTAATCCATCCAGGACTGTTTTAATTTGCTTGCTGGAAAATACTACAAAAAGTCCAGTCAATATATCCATCACCATCTCTTCCCGAGCTTCAAATACAGTTAGAAAAATGGAAAAGCTCAAAGCAGTTGGAAAAGCATTGAGGTTCTAAAGGATGCCAGTTGAGATCTTCTGGTGAAAAAAATCTACTTCCTACAAGTCAACAGGTTAAACTCACTCCCAGCTGGTGGCAAGGGTCTTCGAAAAATGGAACATCTTTTCACCACTTCAATTGGCAGATTTAAAATGCTCCTCATCCACAGTGGTGTAGATGTAGCCCTGGATGGTCAGATATTCAATTGCTTGCTTGATGGCCCTGTCGCTCATGCTGGGAAGTTGGGTCTGGAGCTCCTTTACATTATTGCCTTCCTGTTGACGGCATTAATGAATCAAACGCAGAACTTCCTTGTGGTGGTATTTGGCGTACACCTGGACATCATCCGTTTTTGATGGAACAACAGGAGCACTGGGCCTAGAGGCTGTTTGGCAAGCTTTATCCAGCATCATATGTGCATTCACCGTTTCCACAATATGTGTGGTGAACTCGTTCATGTCCTCCAGGACGCGGATGTTCAATACCTCAACGCCTTTTACATCCTTAAAATACTTGAGGATGCCGATCACTTTGACATCTACTCCCACTGGAAGGGCTATCCCCTTCTTTCCTTCATTTCTTCTGAGCCACTGATAGACCTCAATAGGCGCAGTGGTCATATTGTCAATTCTGTAAATTATGTAGTTTGAAGCGCTCTCTGCCGATCTGATTATCCCCATGATAGAGACCTGGGAAACTTCAATTTCCCTGATCTTGACGCCATTGTCAACTAGAGCACAGGTGAGCAGCTGGTTTACACAACAAAGTATAATATTCTGGGTTCGGACCCTGGACCTTGGGGGAGCTGCACCATCCTGAGATGGTCGGTCATTGCTTCCAATGGTTCCACCCACTGCAAAGGTGCTGCCATAGCTCTGAATCCCATTTTTCCTCATCTTAAGGACAGTTCAGGCTGATTAGGAGGTAGGCTTTGGCTCTATTTGGTGAGTTCCTCAGGCGGCCTCTGACTTCTACAGTGAGCTACCACAGAAAGCTTGGGAGTGCGACAACACAAGCAGCCTCACGCCCCTGTGGAACCAATCAGCTACCAGAATGCAACTGCCTTCAGCCAATCAGGACATACCAGCTTCTCAGGTGATCCCCGCAATTCTTTGGTGTTCTCTGGTAATTGCTACACTGTATTTTAAAAGCTTCACATATAATTTCAAGTCATTCTTGCCATCTTTATAAAAATGCATTTTTACCAGGTACCCCTTCCCTTCATTCCTAAATCCCACAACATCTTCTATAGTCACTACTTAAATATTCATTTATTCACTCATATAATCAACTGTTCAACAGAAATTTCCAGAGCACATAAGTGCACTATGATAAAGAGCTATAGGTTTACATGGAGAGGGTGCACAAAAATGGTTACTGTTCTCAAGGAACTCATATCCTTGTTCAAGTCATTAAAACCAGAAGCATTCTAGAAGAAATGGCAAGACAGTCACCTTTGAATGATTATCATATTCAAAAGTAAGTCACATCTTACCACTGACTTCTTAAGTTTTTTTATTGTAGAATTAAAATTTTCCAGTTATTCTGACAAATGCACTATAGGGAACAATAAATACTATATTTCAATTTCTACATTAATTCAAATGATCTCTAAATTATTTTCAAGATTCTATTGGTGGGTCAGAGAAATACAAAATGTGGGCCCCATTATATATTAGGAAAAACATAAATAAAATCAAAATGCCATTTCTGTACACTTTTATGTGGTAATTTCTGAACTTAAGATTGTAGCAATTTACAGGAGTATATCCAAGAATATTTTCATATTACACCAAAAATCTATTTTTCCTCATAAAACATTTTATGTTTGTTACAACTAAATATTTTTTATGATTAATAAAGAATATCAGTTATTGGATTCCACCATTGGCAAGGAACTTCTTCCTTAAAAATCCTTTGTAGTTAGAAAATAGCCTGTGTAGAGCTTTGAGTTTATTAATACTATCATTCATTTCTTTTATTGGTTAAAATAATTTAACTTTTGCTATCCCAAATTGCAAAAATATGTGAATAGTAACCCAAAACTTGTAGAATATAAAATTATATTTATTTCTCAGGTTAAAAATGAATACTATCAGAGCCAATATACTTAATTTGTTTTACAAATAAACATATAAAAATTGTTAATCTGTGCATACAAATTACTGAGTAACTGGATACTTAACTGTTTGACCCATGTTTTTATAATCAAAGAGAAATTAAACATCCAAGTAATATTTGTGGGTGCATGGGTGGCTCAGTCAGTTAAGCATCTGACTTCAGGTCATGATCT